AAGATAGAGGGCCATATATTATTTCCTTGTTTGACAAAAACTTAATGCTCACTATACATAAAGCCCACTGATAACTAATATGATGTGCTGTCACTATTTCTCAAAATGTATCATGAGAACCTTTCTTCCAAAGAACAATTTAATCTGTACTTCCAAGTGAGATAAATGATACTATCATCCACTTGGTCACGCCAGCCATAAATTTGGAATCCATTTGAGATATCTATTTCTCCTTCACTACCCATCCATAACACTTCCCCCAGCCATGTTTACATCTAGAGAATCACCAGATCCTAACAGTTATCCCTCAGAATATTTCCAATTTGTGTGTTCTTCCTCAATGCTTTGACTTCTATCTTAACTTTTTAGTTTGTATATTTTGTGCCCACACTGGGGCCCATACAGGACCTGGGCACTGACTGTGAGCTTTTGTGTTCCAGGCTAATGCTCTTGAGCCACAGCTCCCCTTCTGGCTTTTTTTTTTTTTTTTTTTTTTGTGGTTAACTGGAGAGAAGGAAGAGTCCTATAGATTTTTTTTTGTCTGGCTTGGCTTTGAATCACAATCCTCAGATCTCAGTCTCCTGAGTGTTTAGGATTATAGGCATGAGCCACTGGCACCCAGCTTTATTGCTTGTTTTTTTGTTTTAAAATCTTTTGTTGACTTATGTTAGCTACACACAAGGGGCAGTGGGACAGGGGGAGGGAGGATTTCACTGTTACATCTCCACATATTTACACTGTTACTACAATCTCTTACTCCACCTGTCAAAATTTCTACTTCCTGCCACCCAAAAATTGTATATTCAACTTTTTTCTTCTTTCATTTTCATAGCTCTAGATAACCTATGTGGACAGCATTCAACTTCCTTTATCCTCATTGTCTTCATTTAGCTTATTACTTTTGGACTCATTTTGACCCAATATGTCATCCATACTATTGTCAGCATGTCATGTACAAGTTTTAGCATTAATTTTCCCTCCTACAGCACTTCAAGTTTTCAGACAGTCTTCAGAATTGAGGTCAAGCTCTTTAGTGTGGCCCAAGAAACCCTGATATCCAATTCTGGACAAATTTCTTCTCTTTGAGCCAATAATTTTCTCATTATGGTTATTGCAAGGATCAAATTAGACATATGCTGAATAAGTGAAAGTACTGTATATTCATTTAGTGCCTATCTGCAAAGGCTGTTCTAGGAACTGCAGGTATAGCAGTGAATGAAACAGTTAAAGCCCATTTCTCAGGAGAACTTGTATTCTCTCTGTTGCATAGAAACAAGAAAGGTTTCTATTATTATCATCCAAGACCAGGTACAAGCTCCTTGGGAACTTTCTAGGCTTATTTCTCAGTTATCATTCTGAGACCAATGCTATCTACATAGTACGATACCACCCTATATGATATCATTATTACAGTGTTTCTAATTACCAATACCTTTACTTTGTTGACTCACACCCCAATTCCTTCATGTCAGAACCTGAGACTTATCTTATTGGCCTCTGGTATACAAGAAAACCAGATGTGTTAAACGAATGAATATTTTAAAGTATGCCTAATAAGTTTAGTACTTTAATATATTATGTCCTTGAATTCCATAGTAATATTATGAAACCAGTATTATTGCACCCACCTTATAGGAAACTAAATCTTGAGATGCAGAATGACTTGCCACATTACATAGCTTATGAATAAAGTCAAGCCCAGCATCCTGGCTTGCTTGTCTCAACAGTCCCTATTTGAATCACGATTCTTGATGAGAGGAACCGTTTTTCTTCATGGGAATTTGGAAATGTAGGACAATGTGGTCTGTGTACAATTTTAGGTATTATCTATATGCAAAGGCAAAACTTTAGCCCACAGACAGATGTACAAAGACACTGTCAGATTTTTTTTCTAGAATCTGTGTAATTCTCCCCACTCTGCTGGGGGCTAAACTCCGGTAAGTTTTGAGCTTGCTCATAATATTATAGCCTCTTCCAATTTAGGCCATCTTTGGATAGCTCTACCTCTTGGCTGAATATGCAGCTTCTTAGATGGTCTCTTTTCCTCTGCAAGCATCCAGAGCACTGAATTGGTGAGTGTGGCTTATAGAAGGAACCCAAGGGTAGGAGAGAGTAGCCTCCCTTGTGATAAAGCTGTGCCTTGCTAGAGAAAGGAGTTGCTGTGATGGGCAGCACCTTACTCAGGTAGGAAAACTTCTTGAGCTGTTGTTTCGACATTGTGGCCTATAGCATCAAATATGAGATGAGGCAAAAGCACGTCTTCAGCTTCCCTTCTAGGACATAAGTTTGAAAACCTGTGGATGGGAGGCCCTGCTCTCTCCCACCCTCACTCCCTTCTTCCTACACTTAACTGGGTCTGGAAAAGTGGGGGTGGGGGGAGGGAATCTCCCCCTCCCTCTTCCTATCATGCATTTCTCTATATTGTATCATCTCTCTTCCCAAAGTGGAATTTACCCTTTCCTTTTTCCCGAAGCTTGACCTAAGGAATGGCTGCCAGGTAACCTGATTTATGGGGAGAAGAATAAAAACACATCTGTTTAATATTTTCAAATTATTACCCCTGTTACCCCTGCATCTCAGAGGGTAATCACTGGTCTCAGGAGCTCTCTGGATCCCTTTATAGTAGTGTGGCTCACAGCAGTCGTAGAGGAAGATTTACAAGGGCTCTTCCATACCTCCTTCACCTGACTTACTACCCTTCCCTTTCAGCCCATCAACCAAATTCTTGGCTCTTACCCCTCCTTTGTGGGTAGCCTAGAAACAAAGTGGTAGTATTTTCTTGAGAAAAAAATATTTGTAGAATGTATGAACTACATGTTCAAATTCTGACCACTTGAGTTCTCATGATGACACTGGTTATGGCTTACATATTTACATATGGAATTATGGGAAAGTAAGTTGTTCTAAAGGACCCTAATATAGGGGACGTACTCTGGAAACATTGAACATTTGATTTGTATACTGAGTCTTTCTAATTCAATCTGTCTCCAAAGAAAGGGGAAGCTTTTGTGAAAGTAAGCAAATTAGTAGAGAACTGACAACAGTGAGTCAAGCAACAGAAATGTTAAGAGGAAGCATGGATTTTGTGACAGTGACTCTAGTTTAATGTCTCTATAGCTCACTGTGCAATGTGAAGCTCGGTGTGTGTCTCTTGCTCTTCTTTATCTGTATATCTTATTAAGTTTCAAGTTAGAATTAGATCCAGATTTTATGAGAAAAACATTTTCATGTAAATGAAGGAATCCACTTGTGTACTGTGAATTGAATGGCTAAGCAGAAAATAAAATTATTAAAGTAATAGCCCAAAAGGAGAGTACAAAATAGAAAGAATAAAAAAAGGGCTTCTTGTTTGAGGTTATCATTACCATCTGGGTTGTGAAACATTTGATTCCAATTCCAGAAGCCTGATACCAGAAATAACTTATAACCAAGGACATATGCTGGAGAATTGTCAAGAATGACAGAGTTTTTACTTGTTTTTAATATCTGTATCACAAAAAAATGAAGCTGATAAACTATACAATGATCTGAAGGGGTGAGCCATAGCTGAGAACTTTCTACCACATATATTTATGCTATGTCTTTTATACTCCAAATCTGCTTCCTTTCCTACCCCATGAAAATTCAGAGACCACCTCTGATAGATACATAGAGGATCTTTCATTTTTTTCCCTTTGGAGAAGAGGATCAGACATACTTGGGGTCTCTCGAGCGAGACTCTATAATCTAATCTGTTGATTTTGCACAGCATTTGCAGTTCTACTCACAGTCATCTTTTCCCAGGGGTCATGGCTGATACTTTGCTAGGCTTATGCTCTACCAGGAGAGCCACACCCCAGCCCTTCACAACGGTCATGTTGGAAGTATGCCTAAATATTCTTACATACATTATAGACAAATGACCACTTTCAAGTTTCTTACCTATGTCGAATTTTACTTAAACCTTTACATTTTACATAAACCTCATTTTTAAAAAAAAAATGGAGATAAAAATACCACCCCATTTGTTCTGGGTTAGAACTAATTTGTTGGAAAACTGAGATGCTATAAAACAGTTTGAAGGCTGAGAGATTCCAAATATGAAACGAGGTGGTCACTTGTTTCATTCACATGTCAATAAATGATTAGTATTAGGAGGCAGTATAAAGTCTGGAGTTGTGGTGTACTCCTGTAATCCCAGCCCTCAGGAGGCCGAGGCAAGAGAAAGACTAGTTTTAGACCAGCCTAGACTGTAAGGGCGGGGGGGGGGGGGTAACAGGGGGGAGGGGAGAATTGGAGTAGAGGATGCCCAATAGTTAATAATTTTAAGGTCTTCGGGGATTTCTTTTCTACATAAAATCTCTTAACTTACAATCTTTAATCCTCACATTATTAAAGGCTTTATTGGGTAGAAGGGAATACAGCTTCCTTCCAGGTTTTTGGTTATTTGCTTTTTAAAAGGTGCTATTATTCGAGCGGGAGAGGAATCTGGAGAATTTAACTCCTTTGGTCAGACACTAGGAACTGGCCATCGGGTCTTTTAGATGTATTTTTAACTTTCCTTAAACCTGGCCAGGTTTCATTTTCACGGCCTAAGAAGTTGGTACTGAAGGGGTTAAAGGGTCCTCCACACCCCGGTACTCGAATCCTTCTTTTGTGTACACAGCTGCAGTCGGAGCACGGGTCGGAAAGGAAATGGTTAGAGGAAGAGCTGGTTTTCAGACCAGGCGGGTGTGCGAGGGGGGCTGTGTGTGTGTGTGGTGGGGCGGGGGGGGGGGCTGGGGTTTTTACATGCCAGATGTAGGCCTGCCCGGTGCCTGCCTGGGGCCGCTGGCGTGCTCACGACGCGGCCCTGTGCGAATGGAGGCGAGGTGATGAGTTAGCGCGTTGCCATGGTGACGGGCCGGCCACGTGACCCGGGTGCCGCGGCTGGTACCGGACTGCTGCTGGCGTTTTGACGTCAGCGGCCGGGTGGGCGGGGCGCGAGAGGGCGGGGCGGGGCGGGGCGGGAGCCGAGCTGGGCGCAGGGAGCGAGCGAGCGAGAGCGAGCGGGCGGGCGGCAGCTCGAGGGACGTGCGCGGAATCGGCGGAGCGAGCGGGAAGACGCAGCCACCTTCCTGGTCAGCCAGCCCCCCCAGCGGTTTGTTCCCTCTCTCGGGAGTGCGCCAATGCCCGGGCCGACCCAAACCCTGTCCCCAAATGGCGAGAACAACAACGACATCATCCAGGATAACGGGACCATCATTCCTTTCCGGAAGCACACCGTGCGCGGGGAGCGTTCCTACAGGTAATGGGGGCGGCGCGGGGCCCGGCGCGGGGGGAGCCGGCCCGTTCGATCGTGGAGCGGCCCCTGCCCGCAGCCCGGGCTGCCGACGGGCGCTCGCCCGGGCGGGTGGCGATCCTCGGGCATCGGTGTCCCTGTGTGTCACGCTGGCCGTGCGGGGCGGCTTGGCGATCGCGGAGGGAAAGGCGTTTTGGGGAATCGGTTTCGCCGCCTGCAGATGAGGGGGTCTCTCTCCACCCCTTTTCCTTCCACACTGGTCCAAAAATAAAAAATAAAAATGTAGGCTCTCCCCCCCCCCCTCCTGACGGGAGGCAGGCGGTGGCACTTCCTCTCCTCCGTCCCTGGTAGATTGCAAAGGGCCTTTTAGGTAGCCGTGCCTCGCGGCAGAAAACCAGCGCGAGGATGGCGAGGAGCGAGACGGGGAGGAAACCCACACGCGTTTGCGCTTAACCTGGAGAGGGTGCGGGAAAGATGGAATCCTCGAGATTGAGCTGCAGCAGTCTGGGATGTGAGACCGCCAGATTGATGGAGCTTTGTACGAATTCTGCTCGCTGATTGGTGCGAGGATTGACAGCAGAGGTCACGATGTTAGACATTCACCCCCCCACCCCCACCTTTTCTCCACCAAACCTGGGGTTTATTAGAAGAGACTAGACTGCCACCGACCTGAAAGAGGGTGTGGGGGGACCGGGGCGTTGTTAAGCATTTTATTAGGAGTTTTATGGCCTTTCCATGGGCGGGGGAGCCCCTCCTTCGTATTTACAATCGAAGGTAATTCCTGGTATTTTGCTGAGGTCTGATGTTCAGGATGGCAACGATCCTGGTCATTGTATTGTGAGCCTTTTGATTAATGAGGTGCCTGCACGGTTAGCATCATTTAGCATGAACCTATCTGGCAATATGTTCCCGAAGATAAGCTCATTAAAATTGTTTGCATTGTTTGATAAGGATAACAATGTAATGGAGAATGCAACTAGGATCTTAGACAGCTCAAGGCCAGACTTAAAGGGAAGACTGATAGCTCCGGTTGTATTTCCTCTGAAGTTCTTTTGTACTAGGGTAGTTATTTTTAAATGTTACCTTGATAAACCACAAACAATGCGTTCGCTTTGAAGCAGACCCTGCTTACCTCTAAAGGGCATCCTTTTAGCTAGTTAGCAACAGGAAATAAAACCTCCTTTTTAAAAAAAGGTGAAAAGCATTCATCTAAACATTCAGATGGTATTATGAGTAGAATAGTCTATGTGGATGAATGTTGGATATCATAAGACCCAAAGTACCCCCACACCCCCACTTCCTTTCTCTTTCCCACTTCCAGACACACACTATTTGTTAATTCAAAAAAAAAAAGAAGAAGAAAAAGGCAACCTTCATCCTGTCTTCTCTGGCAGTTACACAAATACTTGGAGTTAATTTTGGCTGTGCCCAGGAGGTCACCTTATGGTTCCAATGAAATGTGTTGACATGGTATTCTTACAGACTTGAAGTGTTTGTTATTTTCTTAATGTAAACCAAAATAGAAGCACAACTTCGGGGACTCTCCTTTTGGAGACCCTGTTATTATTAGAAAGTTGGGCCTTTTCTCTCCTTATTCATCTACCTTTTTTTTGTCTGTAAATATCCTTAAACAACAACAAAAAAATCATAGCATTTAAATCAAAGAGTTTTGAGTTCCAAACTTATCAGAACTGCTCTTCTAAGTAGTAAATTTGAGGCCATCCTTTCCTAAGTGATTTTAGTCACCTGCATTGTAAGTGGCAGTTGCTTTTTAGGTTGGAGTACAAATTTTAGCACGTGGGCCCAAAGAAGTTGCCTTCTTCGGTTTTATTACTCATATGAACCAACTTGAGATGGCAATGGAAAAAATAATTGACTGAAAAGGTTAAATGTTACCTTCTCCTGAGAAAGTATTACTTTATAATGAAGTTTTATTCACTGCAACCCAAGTTGTTATTTTCATTTCCTGAATTATTTCTAGTTTGCTTTCTGAGTCTCTATAATGGTACTTGAAATTATGTAAAAACACAAACTGAATTTTTTTAAATGATGTGACTTAAAAAAATTGTAAGCCACTCAGATCATCATTGCACTTGTATTTTTATGTAATAGGATTATTGGAGGCTACAGTGAAAAGCGCCATAGGTTAAATAGAGAAAGAATCTCCAGAAATGCATTTATATTGTTCTACAAAGGCTGCACTTGGAGAACTTGGAGATAGACACACTAGGTGTTTTCATTGGTCATCTCCTCCTTCAATGTGGACTAGTAATGTAATACAACTACTACTTGGGGTGGGGGGGGGAGATAGGGAAAGGAAAAGCGTAACACATTTTTCTGTCCAGGAAGCATTCCATCATGATTTGGTATTCCAAGATTGGAATAAAATAGCTATTTAATTGCTGGGGAAATTTGGAAGGCAGTTTGAAAGCCACAGTAGAGATTTAACTAAGTAAAAATTTGACCTTGGCTGTAGGTTTTGGGTAGCCCTCAACAATGAGATATACTTGGAAGTTCTCTGAGGAATCCCTTGAGAGAAGCAATTTTGTCTTGCTTACTTCACTGACTCCTAGGAAGACCTTATGCAGGCCTTTATCAAAGGCCAATTTTCTGCCTTTGCTTGTTACATATGAAGATGGATAATGTCATTTTTTAATTTTAATTTTTTGTCAGTCATGGGGCCTGAACTCTGGGCCTGGGCGCTGTCCCTCAGCTCTTCAGCTTAAGGCTAGCACTCTACCACTTGAGCCACAACACCACTTCTGACTTTTCTGCTTATGTGGTGCTGAGGAATCGAACCCAGGGCCTCGTACATGTGAGGCAAGCACTCTACACTGAGCCACCTTCCCAGCCCAATAATATCATTTTAATAGAGATATTGTAAGGTTAATGTCAAACACTGAAAAAAAGAATGTCTTATAAGAGTTGTGGGCCATCAGTGTAGTAGCTCAATGGTGGAACACTTGCCTAGCATGTGTAGAACATTGGGTTTGGTCCTCAGGAGCACAGAAAAGAAAGAAATGCTATGTAAATAGAAGAATGATGTTACTATTATGAAAAAGGGTTTCTTTTGGGAGCTGATGGACAGGAGTGCACCCCACCTCATTGACAGTACTGGTGAGAGGGAGTTGAGGGTACCCAGAGAGCTAGACAGTACACCTGACCATTGCTAATGACATGCAATCACTTTTCTTTTTTTGTAGTGTTTGTACCTTACTGCTCATGAATAAAAGTCAGACATGGTTCTCAACGTAGATGTCACAATCTAGGTATCTGTTAGTGTAAACAGCACCTAATTTTAGCGTCTAGAGAATAGGTGAGAAGTCATCATTGAAACTAGTGTGCACTTTTATTAGAAAAGCAAGTTTCTTGCAGCAAATTACCCCTGATTAGTAATTTCAATTGAAAATAGCAAGTGACCACAGCCATGTAAGTAAATACATTTTCCCCAGCTCTGTCCACTGACTGATATGAGATGGCCTTTCCAGCCTCTGCTTCTTCAGTGCCTTAGAAGTGCTAGAAATCCATATATTTTAAATGCTGCTTAAAAAATAACGTGAAGGCCATCTGAGGTGACACTGTTTAATTCATAGCGAATGAGTTGTGCTCCGGTGCTCCCTCGGGAGAATACTCCCCATAGCTCTGCCTTGTGCATATGCTAGTCAGAAATGAGATTTATTAACTGGCCCTCTGCCCACCTCATCGTTGTTTGCATACTCCAGGTTTTTGAGAACGAATATATAAAGCCAGAGGTCTAGTTCAAAATGGGTGTTTGAATATGCAGCCACAATAGTATGTTTCTAAATACTTAAAAACAAAAATTCTTGACCCCAGGAAATGAACTGCCAGGCAAAGCAAAATGAAAATGTTAAGTCTAAAATATTAACCTAAAACATCCAACTTTTCTAGGCTTTAAAAAAATGCACTGATGTTAATGATAACAAAAAGAAATCCTGTGTGTTGACACGTAAAAGATGCACTTATGAAGTGTGTTCCATTCATTCAAAGCTATTATAATATGGCTCACTTTTGCCAGAATGTAAATTTCAGATCACAGCACCCAAAACAGGCTGTAGGCAGCAAAACTCTAGATTCACCTGTCTCTATTATGTATCAGTGTCATCTAGGCTTAATTCTGTCAAAGATGGTTTTCAAAAATTTGATTTGATCATCAATATCTTATTCAGTGTTGGTGAAATCAGAGTGGCTTGATGTTTTGTTAGGCTCTCAATTCTGGAACTTGTTTTGTGTCCTTTCTGTAAATGGGATGGTCTTCTGGGTGTTCCTGTCCTTGGAGAGAGGCTCACCCCTGCCCTGCTGCTGGCTTTGGTGTCTGTTCACAAGGCAGGATCTTAGCAGAACATGGGTATGAGATTGTCCTCTGGAATTTAGAGATTTGATTTCCTTATGTAGCATATTTTCTGTATTTATAGGGACCTTGAAACTGCAGTGACTAATCACTTAGAAGAATTGAGGGATATATTAGGGTTAATGTTAAGTGTTCCATTTGGATTTGAGAATTCATTAATTCAATAAATATTTGAGAGTCTATTCTGGCCAAGGTCTGTGCTTTCTCCCTTTGGGGACCTTGAGTTCTAGCAAAGTGAGAGATATAAACAGCTCATTTTGTAGCAGATTTACATTGCTGTCAATATTTTGCTCAGTCTGATAGCATAGTGGTTTACATTTCCTGAGCCCACAGTGACTCAAAGGAAAGATAACCTCAAGGCCAGTATGCTGCAGGAAGCTAAAAGACACTGTGGAAAAACATATACACTGTTCAAAAGGCTCTAGAATCAGACAGAATTTTCATTGGCCTGGCTAGGTGCATAATGAAAAGGGGTAGAAAATAAGGCACAAACACTGAAAAGTAGGCAGAGGTGAGGGTAGGAAATGGAAATAGGAAACCACTGGAAGCCATTACCTGACAGGCAGCATTATAAAGCAGGTACATGTGAGAATGGATCTCCTGTTTAGAAATGAGAGCTGAAAAGAAAATGGTCTCC